GTCCCTAGCCAAAAATGTGAAAAGACTTAGTGGGCTCCCTATTTTTAAGGCTCTACTAGCAGTTGTCTGGTGATTCCTGTGTGCTCATTCTGATTCCGTCTTCCAATGGGCAAAATCCTACTGGCGCAAATTTACACTGGCAGAAGCCAATGATGTCTGGCACTGGTAAAATTTAATTTAAATTTTATTTTAATTTAATTTACATTCATTGAAATCTTTCTATCTCCCTGTTTTAATTTCTGAGGCTCCCTAGAGTTCCCTTTTGGCCTGGGTGAGCCTATGGGAACTTCAGTCAAAAATTGCTACAGCTGAGATTGAGACTGACCACTAGTAGTCTAGTGGGTTGTTGTTGTTGTTGTTGTTTTGCTTTTAAAGTTTCTCCTGTCCCTATCCTAAGGCTCTCAAAGTTTCCCAGGCCAAAAGGGATCCCAAGGGAGTCTTAGGATCTAAAACAGGGTTAGAGCTAGGAAGCTTTTCAATTAATTTAAATTAATTTTTCCTGATTCCTGCTGATGGAATCATCATTGGCTTTCACCAGTGCAAATTTACGCCAGTAGTTTTTTGATGTACGAGAAGGAATAACATCTATGGACAACTGCCCTGTTCACTAAACAAAGCAGAAGGAAAATCATGTCAGCGTCCCACCCCCACCTCCCATTCTCACACTGAGTGCAAAATTTGTCATGCAACTAATCACACAACAGGGAGCCTGCTGGAGTGTGTGGGGAAAACTCTTAAATATGATCTCCTTTCCACTCTGCATTAATACAACTTGATACTAATCATGACACTGAGATGGAAGCAAGACACCAGATTTTATTTATGCTGGACCAAATCTGGGTTTCCAGTGGTAATGGTAGCTTTTTTGTGTTTTTTAATGTGACTAAAGGAAAGGCTATATCTATGGGAAGATCTGCATAGATCACCATCCCTAGAAACAGAAAAGAGATGGCTTGCTCCAGTTTTTCTAGCTGCCTCTTCCATCACTTGATATTTTAATAAAACGTACCATGCCTCGGGCGAGTTACATCCAAACGCTCGTGTGCCTTTCTGACTATTTTATTGGCAGAGGTTTGTTTTGTTTTGTTTTCTTTTGTGGCTTTATTCCTGAAGATCTCAAAGTCTCTTAAAGAGCCGGAAATTGCAGTGAACATTTCAGGCTATTTCTGGGGTGAAACATCCAGGCTGTCCTTGTTTGTCTCCTCTATTGATAGTATCAAAGCTCCTTTGTGCTAAGGAAAAAATATGAGGGCGAGGTACTAGGATGGTTTTCGAGAATCTAAGGTATTCTATTACTTAAACACAAGATGGGCAGAGAGAGTGGTCTTCGCACTGTATTCCTGCATCTCTCCCGACCACTTTCATCTTCTGTAAGAACTTTTTCACCTGGAGACATTTCCACACTGTGATCAACGAAATAAGAAAAGACTGTCTTCTGGGCCTCCTGAGTCCACATAGGAACCAGATTAGAGAGGAAAATACCAGTGAATGCAGTATTTTTATTTTTGTTAGCGCACCACCTCCAACATTTTCTGCTCTAATGCTAAAAATGGATAAATAACTGACTGAACAGGTAGCTGCTGTCCTGGTGGATTCTCAAAGTTTACAGCCCACCCTAACACATCCTATAGTCCTTTTTACAGTTCAGTATGTCTGTCCTCATGTCTTCACATATGAGCTCACATATACAGCAAATGGCAATATTCATGGTAGTCATTTCTATAATAATAATCATGTGTTGTGAAGTCAATTCTGAGTTATGGTGATCCTTATTCAGAGTTTTCATGGCAGAGAATATCCAGTGTGGTTTACTGTTCTCCTCTTCTGGGCTGCCCTGAGACTGTGCAGCTTGCCCAAGGCCACCCAGGCTGGATCTACTTGCAGGAGGCACAGTGGAGAATTGGAACTCCCAACCTCTGGCTCTGTAGCCGGATACCTAAGCCAGTCAGCTATCCAGCCAGATAATCATTTCTAAAGCAAGCCAAAAATAGACACTGTGATCTTGTAGGCAGTGATGGAAAAACTAGGACACATTTTCAAAGATGTCTCTTTAAAAGGAATGTTTGGTCCAAAGGGGGATACATGTACAGCAGTGTTCTATAGTTATACTGTATACCAGGACTCCTCAGAGATAACAGGGACTGAACTCTGGTGTTTGTAATACCCAAAATCAAGATTTGCTGGAGAAATAAAGATGAGGAACGCCACAGAAGGAATTGCAGTTGTGCAGAAGCGCAAAAGCTTTCCTGAAGTTGGCCCATAGTAGTTTTCCCACAGTCATGAGGGCTAGAAACACTCAGGGATTTTTTTTAAAAAAAATCCCAGAAATTATCTTAAGCATGAATGTAGAGAACAGAAGCAACTTGTAATGAGGCTATTGTGATTGTATGAACTAATAGCATTCAACTTAGTGGTGCTTTATTCACCCAAGATGTAATTGGGTTTGGGCTGTGCGTGCAGTATGTGTGCGTTATTTGCAATGTTGCATGATGAACGTGCCTGGCAGTTTCTCAGGAAGTGGATCACACAACTACAGGCTTTAACACATTTGGCAAGTCCTGTGTACCTTTTCTCTTTTTGGCAAGGAGGCTGCACCTCGTACAATAGTTTATAAGGACCACATTCTGCTCTCAATTATTGCCAGATCCAAAGCTGACTGAAGCCAAAGGAAAGACCCCCATTGGCTTCCAGATGCAGAGCCATCACATTACATGAGAGTAGCTGGAAGAAGAGTATGAACTGTCATGTTTGGCAGGTGGGCCTAGTTGCCAAAAACTAACTAACTAACTAACTAACTAACTAACTAACTAACTAACTAACTAACTAACTAACTAACTAACTAACTAACTAACTAACTAACTAACTAAAAGCACAAGGCAGCTTTGTCCTGTCCCATGCATGCAAAAGATGCTGGGAAAACATAATATTTACAACTGTCTAGAGTGCGAAAATGAGACAAACAAACATACAGTGATGCCTCACATTACGATGTTCATTCATTCCAGCGAAATCGCTGTAGAACGAAAACATCGTAATGCAAAATTAAAAAGCTCCTAGAAATGCATTAAAACCCGATTAATGCATTCCTAGGGGCTTGAAACTCACTGTTCAGCGAAGATCCTCCATAGCGCGGCCATTTTCGCTGCCAGTGCAGTGAGGAATCCGTCCCAGAAAAGAGCGGGGAGCCATGTTTTTTACCTGGTGGCCATTTTGAAACGACCGATCAGCTGACTGAAAATCATCGCTTTGCGAGAATCGGTTCCCGAAGCAGGGAACCGATCATTGCAAAGCGAAATTCCCCCATAGGAAACATTCTTTTGTGATCGCAAAACCTTCAACGTAAAGCGATTTTGTTGTAAAACGGAGCGCTCATAATGAGAGGTACCACTGTACATTGATGCCAGAGCTTAATATGAAGGCAGCATCTGACAGACAGGGGTTATTTCCATATTACATTTCTGTCCCATCCAGGAAGGTCATAGCCATATACATGGTTCTGTTTTATTTTTACAACAAACCTGAGATGTAGATCAGGCTAAGAGGTTGGCTTAAGAAGGACAGGGATTTCATTCCAGGTCTGATCAGTATTAGCCTGACCTTGTAACTATTATGAATCCACAGACCAAGCCATATTCACCGACCAAGGGTAATAGCAATATTTGTTTACAATAGTACCATATAATAAAAAGGGCCATGGGATACTTTCATAGGGGAAAAACCTTTGTAAGAATAATGAGTTGAGGATGGTAGGCCTATATTCTACAGTCACCTTTTCTATCATTTAGACTGAAAACTGAAATGGTTTCATTCACCCATAGCTTTAGTGAGTCAGTATAATTCTTTTGCTTACTGTTTGACATGGGGTTGTATTTTTCAGTCATTTGTTTGGATTTTGTGATGGTCTCTCAGCTGTGGGAACCAGGATGGGGAAATGTGCAATCCTAAAGTTGGAATGAGATGGAATTTTGCTAAATTGCTTGTTCTTGATGAGAACGATTATCTTGACGCTTTGAGACAACCCGTCAACAGCTTGTTAATCGCCACGAGGTTTCTCACTTTCAACACAAGTGCTTTCCCCCTTCTACTGAGGTTTCTATGATTTGTGTAAAATATCTTTGGTGTCCTCCCTCCCCAACCCATCTGAAGTAAAGCACACATACAGTACATAGGCAGCACAGAGGGATTGATTTTTTTAAAAGGATGCAAACAACCCATTAAATGCTTCTATTTTAAAAAAGTCAGTGCAACAATCAAACAGAAGTTACTGTAATTTCGCTATGTAATTTCACACAATTTGTTTGAAAATCATTCTGCATAGATGATAATCAGGACCCATCTCAAATATTGTCACAACTGCTGCATTAAAGTTTGTGTCTTGACTAAATATGAACAATTTCTTCTTCAAAAGTGCCTAAAAATCTATCCAGACCAGGTGATGTGTAGATGCAGTATGGGAATTTTGATGTAGCCCTCACACCCTTAGAGCTGAACAGTACATTACAGATAACACATCGTTACTATCTGAAGCCTTTTAGTGTTTCACAGATATGGTTCCAGCACACATTTGTGATGGAAGATATATGGTTGTAAATGAAACTTGTGATGGTGTCCTGATGATCTGTCACAAAACCAAAGGGCCCTAATTTGCAGATAGTGGTAGGTGTGGAAAAATAGCTAATGTGAGAATCAGACCTTTTCCTAATGATGTGTTATCTATAACAGTTTCGCCCAGATCTGTGTATGCCAGTGGCTGAAGAACATTCTGAAGAACCTATAAGGAAATTCAGCAGGAGGAGAGGAATTTAAAGGCTATGTTTACACAGTGATGAAGCAATAGCAGAATTAACATAAAAACTAAACATAGGTTATGTTGATGTTTATTTTCTGTACCACCAGTATTCTGCTTTGAGCCATCATTAGCTGTCTCCCCCCCGCCCCCCGCTGAAAGCCCAAAAGCCCCAGATCTGCAGATAATCATTTTCCTTTCCTCTTCTTTGCAGGTTCTCAAAACCAAAGATCTAGCATCACCAACACAACGTTACATTGATAGCAAAGTAGTTAAGACAAAAGCTGATGGTGAATGGTTATCTTTTGATGTAACTGATGCTGTACAGGAATGGCTCCACCACAGAGGTGACAGTACCTTTTGATCATTTAGGACCTGCATTTGCTATAACTAATTTTATTTTGTATCTTATCTAAATGCAGTTCCTTTTTCTCTTGTGTTTTACAGACAGGAACCTGGGATTTAAGATAAGTTTGCATTGTCCATGCTGCACATTTGTGCCTTCAAATAATTATATCATCCCAAATAAAAGTGAAGAGCTAGAAGCAAGATTTGCAGGTAACGATCAAACAGGAAAAATTAATATTGTGGCGTAATAAGTATGAGGAACTCCTGCAGTTCAAATACAACTGAATTAATGAAAAAAGACTGGGAAAATGTAGAGACATAAGAGGGGAAGGAAAAGTCATCCTTCTTGAAACAAATGCTTAAAAAATTATATGTAATGTGAGAATGCTCATTGCGAACTCATTTTTAATTGAAATTGGACAAGTGATATTGATTTCATTGCTAGTCCATTCTAAAGCAAGAATGGGAACCATGTAGCCCTCCTGGTGCTCTTGGACTACATCTCCCATTATCCCTTACTACTGGCCATGCTTACTAGGGCTGACAAGAGTTGCAGTCCATCTGGATGTGGATGGCCACACATTCCCGACCTTGGCTATAAAGGGGTCTTTTGGGGTGCTTTGTCTTGCTGTCTTCGCAGTTCTGTTAATACTCACTTAAGATGTTCACTTAAACCATCAAACTTTCAGAAACTTCTGTGGGGTTGCACTCTAGCTTCCGATTCATGTGTGAAGACACAGCAATTAAGACTGAAATTGTGCCGGATTAATCGATTACTGCTAAGCAATTATCCAATGAACAAGATTAATCCTATAAAACAGCTCTGATTACTGCTAAGCAATTATCCAATGAACAGCCAGTGCTCACAGACTCAAATTCAAAATTCACATGGCTCATTTACATGTTAGCTCTAATCAAACTGGTGACCTCTTTTGCATTAAAAGATGTGTCTAAGCATTCCAACCAGATAAATATGGATATGCCTAATTTTATTTCTGCATTTTATGTGCTGCCATGTGCGTGAGGATGTCTTCACATTTCAGACCTTCCTTGCCGAACGAGGGCAGCCTTCTTTGCAGCTTTGTTGCTGCTCTGCTGTGGATCCGTCAGTAACATCTGACATTGTCTGTTGTATGGGGTGCCTTGGTCACATGAGTGGTTTACAGGGTCACATGACTAGGCTGGGCCAAATGAATACTCGTTCTTTCTACGTTACAATCTGTGGTCCTGGTGCATGTCTGCGTTCGTCAGGGAAGTACTCATAGGATGGCGAACTCGGGATGGTTTTAAAATGATTCCAGGCAGGGTGTTGGAGCCAGTGTAATGTAGCGGTTAGACTGTTGATGGACAGGGACTTGGACATTCCAGGTTCTCTCCTCCAGTGACACATTAAAGACACTGTGGGTGGAGTTTGGCCAGTGGTCCTCTCTTAGTTTGGACAGAGCTGCCTTGAGGACAGGATAGCGATAGATACCACTTTAAGCTTATCAGAGGGAAGTTGTTATAAATCTAACAAATAAACAGATTACAGGAAGTAGGTATAAGTCACACATGGAAGCAGTGTAAAAAGGGGACCTCTCCAAGCCCATGGTAAGACACGGTATGGAACAGAGGGAAAAAAAAGTAGACCTGCTTGCCATTTCAGCTCTGTTGGGAATCTGTCTTCCAGCTGTTCTTCTCCTGTTCCAGCATGGCTGGGGTGATAATCTTATTAGGACATGGAATCTCAGTGGGTAAAATTCTGGAAGAACCAAGCCATGGAAAGCCCCAAACCTGCCTGATTGCCCCTTTTTGTGTTTAAAACATGTCCTTTGCCAAGTTGTCCATGTGAGGTGGGGCATATCTACATGGGTTTGCTGCTATTACATTCTGTTTAGTTCAGTGAGTCACAGATATGGTGATATGAAAGAATGGCTGGTCTGTACGATCTGTGTATTCTTATGTGATAATTCCTTAATAGGTTGCAACACCCTGTAGAAATTCATTCACTCAGTAGGAATCTAGGCAAAACACTTGCTGTAGAGTGTGCCCTATTGAGCTCAGTAGGACTTATTTCTCGGTCACCACACTAGAATTGCCCTGCTCAGCTAAGCTTGGAACCCGGATTAGGTATACGTTAATGGCAAATGTGGGAAGGCAAATGTTAGCATTGAATTGCATAATTATAGGGAGGCATGTTATATAATAAAGGAAAACAGGAACGCTCATATTTTATTTTATTTATTTATTTATTGGAGAAACGAAGGAACGCTCATATCTTGTACCACATTTGATCAAATAGTTTATCATTAATATGGATGAAGCAGATGATATTGTACCACATTTGATCAAATAGCTTATCATTAATATGGATGAAGCAGATGATACAATATGGGTCTTCTAGCACTAATTTGTACTGAACTGCTTAAAACGATTTTATTTTTCTCAATTGGGACTGAAAGGCTTAATACAGCCTGAATACAGACCTCTGAATGATGTTCTAAAGCACAGTTTGAAAGACTGGGAACATGCTGTTCACATGCTTCATTTCCTCCTGCATACCAATTTTCTCTTCCATTTTTAGGTTGCTTTAATCCTAGTTTGCCATGATGTCCAGATCAGGCAACCACAGTTAGCATTAATCTCCAATCCATGGTTTGCAAACTCACTTTGAGTCATAATTTGGAACTGTGGTTTGAGCTTAGAATTAACCATAGTTTCATCAATTCAGATTTCAAACTGAGATGCAAACAAATCTGAAATGGAAGAGCATATTGGGGCATGATGAAGAAGGGGAAGAAGGTAGAGTGCATACTGATATTATGTTTCTGATCCTCCAAACAATGTTTTGGGGGATTTTCCGAATTAACTCGCAGAGATAAACAGGGTATGTGACCACTAAACTCAAAGTGAGTTTCTTCCCATGTTTCTATATGCATACTTGTATGTCATAAGTACATTCAGCTGGTCCAAGCACCCATGATTTTTCTATGATTCAGGTTTCTTGTAAAGAGATGGTTTATATAATTTGTTCCAAAAGAGCCACACAATATTTATTACCAAAATGTATTTTTTGAAGGTATTGATGACTACATCCCATTTCCCAGTGGTGAGAAATTAAAGTCCAGTAGGAAAAAATACAGTGGGAAGAACCCACATCTTCTGCTAATGTTATTACCCTCCTACAGACTTGAGTCGCAACAATCCAGTCGGCGGAAGAAGCGTGCTCTAGATGCTGCCTATTGTTTTAGGTAATTATTTATTGAGATTTTACATGTCTGTACTGTACTTTCATAGAAATATGCTAATAATCGTGGCAGAAGAATACAGGCCTATAATTTTTTGATTGTCCCTATTCACTTAAAGAGTTTATCAAAATGAGTTGGACAGAAATGAACTCTAAATGCAAACATAAGCCATGAAACTTCATGATAATCCATTTGTTGGATATGAACAAATGGTAGCACTGTAACATATTCAGGTTTTTAATTTTTGAATAACAACATATCAAAACAGGCTGGAGGGAGCAGGAAGGAGAAAGAAGGCATCCAAGATTAATTTGTAGTAATATCCATGTATTCATTTCTTATATTTCTGTATTCTGTTTCTTCCAGTGGGTTCACATTAGAATACATGACTGTCCCCACTTCATTTTCACAAATAAGCCAAGAAATGAGGGTGTTCTAACTAGGAAGTCTGAAGACTTTCTTATTATTCCAGTAAGAGTGTATGCAGGATGAAGTGGTTTATTACTTCAGTACTGAGCTAGAGAATGAAAATATTCTCCTTCTGTGGTGGGTCCCCTGTGGGAATTAATTAATTAATTTCTATTTCTAGACCATCCCATTAGTGTTGCCACTCTCTGGGCAGTTCACAATGTACTGTACTATTTTTACAAATATTCTAGCTATACTGAGAGGAGCAGTTCTATCTAATTGTGCATGAACAGATAAGCTTTCCATCTCAAAGCTTTATACTCAGAATAATAGTCCTATTTGTAATTAATTTTTAAAAAATCAAATATGCTATCTATTTTACATTATCTACAGTTTTGCCCCTGTTCTAGGGAAAAGTGAGCACATCCAAGCTTCTCCTGTGAATTTAGTTGCCTTAGTATGCCTAAGAGAAAGTTAAGAAGGCATAAACTGAGAGAGTTCATAGTCTACTACTACTTCCCATATTCCTGTCTTTACATTCAGCTTGATGAAGAATTTGGGAAGATTTGAAAGCTTGCACCATTTTGCAATACTTTGGTTGGCTCCAATAAAGCTATTGAAAAGAATGGTAGAAAGAGGAGTAACAAGAAGAAAATCCACACTCTGACTTTTGATACTTGTCTTTGTAACCAAAAATGGGAAGAATGATATCATATTAACATTTGTGTCTCTTTCACAGCCAGTGGAGGTAACTGTGTAAATATGACACCACAGGCTTTTGGGGACTCATAGGCAAATCTTGTGATGGATGAGTTCTATTAGCTCAACCTGGAGTGAGCTCAGATAGATTCATTCATTCATTCATTCATTCATTCATTCATTCATTCATTCATTCATTCATTCATACACAGAATGAGGAGGGTTGCTTTTGGGGCACACACTCTTAAAGACATTCCAGAATTCATGTCCTGTTACACATTGAATGATGTCATTAGGAATTCGATGGCACCTGTAACTTGGAAGTTGCTCCACCTCCACATGACTCTTTTCTTTTCCTTTTACCCAAACACACTTGAGGCGAGCAAGGATCTATGGGAAATATAGTTTCCATAGTCCCTGAAAGCCCTACATTCCTCATAAGTCCTCAGGCCCCAAAAGCTGTTAAACCAGATCTCAGGACCTAAGGAAGGTCCACAGATACTGGGAGGTTTGTTGAGACTAGATCATGTGGATGGAATAGTTACTTTAAAGGGTCATTACTGGTGTAATCCAAGGTGGTCATATATTGCAGTTATCAAATTGCAATGGGATGGAAGAACAAACCTTTTCCATGTACCTGTCCTTCAAATTATGAATTTCAGTCCCATTGCTATTTTTTATCACCTTAAGATGCAATTATAGTGTTTCTCAACCAACAACTATTCAAAAAGTAATCACAATGTTACTTATATGCATATAGAGCCGTTCATATTGAGTTCCTCCATGTGAAAGGGGAATTTGTTTGGTATAGAACCACCCTTTGCATGATATTCTACATGTGAACTTAGTTATATGCTTGGAGAGCTTCTTACGCTTGTTGGTGGTGGTTGTCATAGATGGTAACCCAAGTACCCCTACATCTCATTTTGTGGTATGTAGGGGAGTTTCTCTGAGCCTTTTTTACGAGCAGTGTCCAACGGGACAAGATAATGCTTACTCTGGCCAATTCTAAAAAGAAATGTTTTTCAGTACAATAATTATTTCTCTAGCACACACTGTTAGATCCTTGGAAAAATTCAGGAAAAACAGTACAGTTTCTTTGAGAGTCCAGCTGAACTCACCTTAAAATTCCCCAAGGGGAGAAAGGCATTGGATTAGCTGCCACTTCCCCAGTTCTGGTGGACATGATTATAATGATATATTTGTCTGTGGCTGCATTTACAGGAACGTTCAAGATAACTGCTGCCTGCGTCCATTTTATATTGACTTCAAACGAGATCTCGGATGGAAATGGATACATGAACCTAAAGGATATCATGCGAATTTCTGTGCAGGAGCATGTCCCTATTTATGGAGCTCAGATACTCAGCATAGTAGAGTAAGTTCCCCCTTTGGAAACTCTGACTTTGTTTTGTGATAAGATATTAAACCAACATCAGGAATGGGGAGGTTGAAAGGCAAGTAAAAATTAATTTAGATATAACACAATGAAGTGTTCTTAAGCCCCAAGGGGGGGAAAAGGATTATTATAAATGACAAATTATATTATGATAATATTTAATTTACACAAATACCTTTCAAAAGTAATTAAAATGGCTTATCAATTCTTGCAGTGTCTTTGTAATAACAAGGTGCAACATGTTTAGATAACAGAATCAGTCTGCACATCATTTGAACTCGTTTTAAGCATGGTCCTTCCTGAGAACGTTGGCATGCACAGTTTCAGGCCATATGGTAGCACACATGCTCCAGAATATTCAACTGTAGCAGAATATTTCATCAGTCCATACTGCACAGGTCTTCCACTCTTAAAACATTCTTTATTTCATTCTACTTTCCACGGATTAGATATACTGCCACATAAGTCCAAAAGGCAATCCCCAATTGACCCTCTTAAAATCAGAGAGAAATACAATTAACAAACATAATATTGGTGCTCTCAGTTCACCAAGTACATGGAGCCAAAACTTTCCTCACACGAGGGAGAAACATCAGTAGATTTTGGGGAAATGGAAGATTTGCAGAAGTGCAAAAACTCCAGTAGTAGGAACGCTTAAGATAGACCATGTACTTGCACGCCCCCACATATATAGACGAAAACCTTATGAAGCCTTAGTTTCTCCCTCACATAATTTCCCTCATCCTATTAGGGTTGCTGTGAAAACGTCATGGAATCAGAATTTAAAACCCCAGATACACTCATGCTTCTTGCCACCTTTTCTTGCACCACCATCAATCACCACACAGAATGGAGCCCCCTCCCACAATGCCAGGTGACATACCACAGGCCCTCCATCACAGTGAACTACAAGGTTGATGCAGGCCTTCCTTTCTTCTCAGACAAGGGCAGTTTTCTGTACCAGCCCAAGTCCCTTCTCTTGTCACCTTTTCCTTCAACCAGGAGTAGGCAGACTCTTTAGACATTTTGAACTACAACTTCCACCTAGCATTGCCAATGGGAATTAGTGCCTGAAACTAAAGCTTGAAGAAAAAATTGCTCTGTTTTTAACCAGACCTTGCAGAATCTCCCATCCAGCAAGGCCAGCAGCTGTGCTTGCCGTGGTGTTCTGGATGTTGTAGTCCAAAAAGGCAACTTCCCAAAGCTATTATGTCTGACTGTTGGCTAAACCACTGGTTCTTAACCTTGGGTTACTCAGGAGTTTTGGACTGCAACTCCCAGAAGCCTTCACCACCAGCTGTCCTGATTGGGGTTTCTGGGAGTTGCAGTTCAAAAGCATCCGAGTAACAAAGGTTAAGAACCACTGGGCTAAACAATGCCCAATGAGGACAGACCTTCCTGCTTTCTAGCCTCGCTGTGATGGAGCAGAGGTCTGACAATGGGAGGAGGTTTTCGCTCAATCAGTTTAGACCCTTCTCCAGGTCAGGTTTAATCACCTGCCCCATCCTAAAGCACTGACTCAGACCATGGATGTCATCCTAGGGCAAGCCTGTACAACGCATGGGACTGCACGCTGGGCAGGCCTGTTCAAGGGAAAGGAATTCTCCTCCTGGGCAGCTGTGATCAGGGCTGGAGGTGTGCCAGGTGCTAGCTTGTGAAACTCCAGCATAGAAGCTTGTGTTTGGCACACAGCTGGGCATCCTAAAAAAAACACGCTGGCTTTCTAATAGAAAAGGCCTGTTTATATGGGTTGCAAAGAAAAGATTGAGTGATTCAGGGCAGATTTGGCTGAGGAGCAAAGAAGACTCTGGGAAGGATCCTCACGGAGAATCCTTTGCAACTGCTGATCTCTCCCACATCATTTGCATCCCTCCTCCCCACCCCCTCGCCCACCCCCACATGCAACTGTTGTAATCTCTACCATTTTCCTTTCTATTCCAGGACCCTGGCAGCCTTTCTCACTTTCATATCACTGTGCCATCTTAAGCATGCCTTTATATTATTGTTGCTGTTTATATCCAAATTAGCTTTTGAAGGGCAGTTTAGGGCCTGACTGATGCCATGGGATGCTTTCATCTTCCTTTCATAGTTGGTTTGTGCAGAGGGCAGTTCTTAGTGTTCAGCCAGTAGTTCATGGCAGATGTGCTGTTCTCTGCCTTTCTGGAAAGAAGACCAATTGAGCATAGGCACCATATGACTGATAGTTCTTTATAGCACTGAAGGAGTGCATGAAAGTTCAAGATGAAGAGGTGAGGAGAAGGGTGGAAAATCACTGTAAATATTGCTGGTAAAGTATAGGGTTCTAGGCTGCCTTAATAAGGAGGTTTTGTGTATTTATTTATTGAAGAAGAATATGTAGAGTCTACCTATTAGATACTACTTTAGGAACAATATTTTTCTATGGCATATCTCTCATTTTCTTGGTAATCGGACTTCTTGGACATTTATTTTCTGAGCACCTGTGCCTTTAAGGATACTAATGAGGCTGGTGTATCATACCTGAACTGCTGGCTGGATAGCTCAGTGGGTTGGAGCAGGAGACAGGAGTTTAATTGCCTACAGAACTTCCTCAGAGAGAATCTGACCTGTGTAGCCTTGGGCAAGCTGTACAGCCGTCAGAAGAAAGAACTGGTAAACCTTTATGGAGTATTTTACATCTTGAAAACCCTGGCAAGAATTGCTATAAATTGGAATTGAATTAATGATAGCCTGATGCAGTAAGTCCAAATGGAGTCCAAAGTAAGATGTTTGGGATTTAGAATTGGGAAGTTGATATATGAGACCAGTAGTATTCGCGTGACTTTCATCTGGCAGCTCTTAGTGTTTGTTTCATCCATATTTAGTGATGAAAGTTTTCCTATAGTCTGAGCTTTGGGAGATGGCTGAATTATGGTGAATGCGTATCATCAAAGTGGTCTGTGAGGACATGGCATGCTGACTGTGTGTTCTTTTTCCTCACAATGTCATGCATCATGATGTACTCTTTTACTGGCTGAGACCCAAATTATACAAATAAACATGTCCAGTTCTGCCTACATGGTTTGTTTAGGGTCCAAACCATGATTTTTAAAATTATTCTGAACATATGCTGACAGCAAATCTTTTTGCTTCATTAAATAATTAAGGAGTCGAAGTAAGCAACATCGGAGCTTATACAGAGATGGCAGGGCTTTGTATGCCAGATCTGCCTGCCAATCACACGGATACAGAGGCAGAAAAAGAATATACAATTGTAATAGATCTCTGCTTCAATTACAAACATATTACCCTTTTGGTGGATCTGTGTTAGGGCTTGTTATTCATGAAAGAATTATAAAGAGCCCAGATTTGTACTGCTGAATCTGGAACTTTGCCTATTAAAAAATACCCATTTAAATATATTTGAAATATACTACTGCTTAGATGTACATCCATAGCATTCCCTCTTTATTGTTCTTTAGCCGTTAAGTCGTGTCTGACTCTTCATGACCCCATAGATCAGAACGCTCCAGGCCCCCCTTTCTTCCATTGCCTCCCAGAGCTGTGTCAAATTCATGTTGGTTGCTTCGATGACACTGTCCAGCCATCTCATCCTCTGTCATCCCCTTCTCCTCTTGCCTTCACACTTTCCCAACATCAAGGTCTTTTCCAAGGAGTCTTCTCATGAGATGGCCAAAGTATTGGAGCCTCAGCTTCAGGATCTGTCCTTCCAGTGAGCACTCAGAGTTGATTTCCTTCAAAATGGATAGGTTTGTTCTCCTTGCAGTCCAGGGGACTCTCAAGAGTCTCTTCCAGCACCACAATTCAAAAGCTTCAATTCTTCGGCTGTCAGCCTTCTTTAGGGTCCAGCTCTCACTTCCATACATCACTACTGGAAAAACCATAGCTTTGACGATGCGGACCTTTGTTGGCAAGGTGATGTCTCTGCTTTTTAAGATGCTGTCTAGCTTTGTCATCGCTTTCCTCCCAAGAAGCAGGCGACTTTTAATTTTGTGGCTGCTGTCACCATCTGCAGTGATCAGGGAGCCCAAGAAGGTAAAATCTGTCACTGCCTCTATATCTTCCCTTTCTATTTGTGAGGAGGTGATGGATCCAGTGGCCATGATCTAGATGCTGTCTAGCTTTGTCATCGCTTTCCTCCCAAGAAGCAGGCGACTTTTAATTTTGTGGCTGCTGTCACCATCTGCAGTGATCAGGGAGCCCAAGAAGGTAAAATCTGTCACTGCCTCTATATCTTCCCTTTCTATTTGTGAGGAGGTGATGGATCCAGTGGCCATGATCTTAGTTTTTTTGATGTTGAGCTTCAGACCATTTTTTGCACTCTCCTCTTTCACCTTCATTAAGAGGTTCTTTAAGTTCTCCTCACTTTCTGCCATCAGAGTGGTATCATCTGCATATCGGAGGTTGTTGATATTTCTTCCGGCAATCTTAACTGATCTTTACCTTTTTTTGTTTTTCATCACTCCATCTTGGTAAGGATTTATATAATTGTTAAAAATTTGAAATTTGAAATATTTTTAGGACTTTGTTTCTGTTATGTTTTTATTATGTTTGTAATAGACTTTGTCTAGGGGGGCGGGGTAAAAATCTAATAAAAGTAAAATAAAGTAAATTCCGGTTTGGGATTCCTCCAGTCCGTCCTTTCACATGATGTATTCTGTCTATAAATTAAATAAGAAGGGAGACAATATATAGCCTTGTTGTACTCCTTTCCCAATTTTGAACCAATCAGTTGTTCCATATCCAGTTCTAACTGTTGCTTCCTGTCCCACATATAGATTTCTCAGGAGATAGATAAGGTAGTCACACACTCCCATTTCTTTAAGAACTTGCCATAGTTTGCTGTGGTCCACACAATCAAAGGCTTTGGCGTAGTCAATGAAGCAGAAGTAGATGTTTTTCTG